AGTAGCGTCCTTGTTCCTAGTAGCGAACATTGCTCCTAGTAGTAAGGCCAGGAGGTCTAGAAACCCCTTTGTGACCCTGTGGGCCGTGTGAGTCCAAGCTGCCGCCAGGCGCTGAGGAAGTCCAGCGCCGAGGCGCCGCGCCGGTCGCACGGGCGCACGCGGGGTTGACACGGTTTCTACGGGCAGCTCATCTCACACAAGAAGACCGCATCAGAAATTAGAGTCTGCCGTTGTAAATGGTGTAAAGAGGAACTTGGTGGAATTGACGTGTAATTTGCATGCGCTTTTCAAGATCTTTCAAGCTTGATTGGACTTGTAACAACCCTTTGGAGAAAACGGTCTTTCCGTGTCGAAAAACACCGTGCCACTCAGGAGCGCATCATGGCACCTGCCCCAGGATGCTTTGTGTCTTCGCAGCGCCGAACGCAGTAAGCGATAAAGACACATGTCCGACGAATCCCAGTTCATCAGAGTGCATGCGAATCGTGTTAGCTGGATCGGATGTCTATTTGGGCCCTTTCTTTGGGGTGGGGAACGTGAGTTTACCTTTTATCCCTGGCTCCTGAAGAATATCCCACACCATGGCACCATGGCACCACCACGCGGCGCCTTGGAGACATACGTCCAAGGCTGCCACGCGAGAGCTTTCCGAAGAGGCCGGGGCGAGAGTCAGTCCTTCATACGTCTATAGACGTCCGGGTGTTACGGTTCGCGGATCGGTTCAACACCCGGACGTTTGGACGACGGTCGGAGGACGTGGAACTGCTGCGACTGTTTGAAGCGGAACTGCGAGCCGTGGAAGGGCGAGTCATGGGATTTGAGGGTCGGTAGGGCAAGTGGAAAAAAGGAATGAAACAATGATTCTAAGGAGCCTAATAATAGCAATGGCCTCCCCAACCTCATGGTGATGCCAACCTACTAGAAAACCAGAAAATGGTGGACTCACTATAACGATCACTGGCGATGTTGGTCACGCAACCCAGGTGTCGGAGGAGATTGGGTAGGTAACACTATACCAGAACTCCTAGACGTAGACCCACCAAAGACGAAGCAGAATAAATAACGTGAGTTTTGGTGCCCAACTGGCCCACCTGATCGTGAGAGAGTTTTGGTTGTGTGTCCCAAAAAGCCTGTAGCGGTCGATCAAAGATGATCACATATGATCACTCTTTTTGAGATGGAAAGGCCTGTATAGCATGCATATCAACCAACATCATCCACTGGGCTGGAATCAAAGACAACAAGTACCCGGTATACCTAGTATACCCAAAGTCTACCAGCACCCACACCAAGACAGGTGTAAATCTATAGCAAAAAAAAGGGGAACGTCGGAGTGTTCCCAAAACCGGACCCGAAAGGAAGGAGAACCGCGAGCCGCCGAACCCGACGAACGGTCGCGGTCGCTCGCGGTCGCTCGCTCGCTTTCGCAGGACATGGATCTCTCACTGACGGCCTCCGAGGCGCTGGTGGGAAAACATGGGGAGGAGGTCCTCAACAGGCATCAACGTCGAAAACTGGAATCTTTTGAAACATCTTGGACCCTTTTTGAAAACATGGGGAGTTGAAAAGACATGTGGGTTTTTTGGAGAGGGCATTTTGGGAGTCGAGACGGAGTGGTGAAAAACATCTCATCTCACAGCTTTCACCTTTCAGCTGCAGCTTCGCTGCAGGACAAGCAGCTTCGCTCACGTCCAGGTCAACAGAGCCGCGCGCCCTCTGCGCGCGGGTCGCACGTCCTGGACTTCGTCGTCTTCCAGAGCACCCTAACCTGGTTTTGCTGATCGGCTGATGCGTATCTTCCCCTTCTGGGGGAATCGTGTTGACTTTTCCCGGTTCGTGAAAGCATATCTGAGCTAAGAGGTGTCTATTCATAGCCCCGAAAAAGAGGCCAGGGGTATTTGGGGGGGTGCTTCATGAACCACCCCTGAAGTGGGTCAGTCCACAGTGGTTCACCTCACGGATGGTGTTTTTTGAATCTGGAGACAACCCACCGAACCCCAATGGGGACCGAAATTTTCATGTTTTTTTGGTGTATGCTTAGGCCGTTAGGCCTTTATATGTTGCTCCCATGGGTCCTCTCCCGCGTGGCCTTGGTCCGAAAGAGGCCCATGTTTGGGAGGGAATTCTGGTTCGGGGGTGGCTCCAGGGTTGGGCCCCTTTGGGCGGTCCATCTGGTCCGTCGGCTGAAGCCGCAGGCGTCAGCCGCTCGGTGATCGTCCGCTCCATGCCGATGAGAAGCGGGAAGCACTCAGTGGGGTCCGGAGGTGGTTTGGCCCGGTTCAGCGGGCGAGCAAAGCGTTGGAGCCTTACATGTTCTCGGCTGGAGAAGGGTGGATCCAGGAGAAGGTGCCTTTTTGTTGGATCTTCCACATGGAGTAGTCTCGTAGAGGAAACAGGAAAGATATGGAAAGATGCAATTATGATGTAACTGAATTCCCTTCCAGCCTTGCTACTGGTACGCTGTAGAAATTGAATCAATTGATCATTGCTGGGTGAAACGAAACGACATGCGACGACGACGACCTGTGACGACCCGAAAAACCAGGTGGGGCTTTGGGCACGCGGGCCTCTCCCATGACCACGCCTGGGGGCCTCGAGCTGGTGTGGAGTGGGAGATTCGATCTACCCAGACGCGACCCGTTGGACCCTGTGGTTGAAGCTCTGTACCCGAATCCTTTGGGGTCCGGAGCTTCTCACCAATCCCTATGTGGACGCAGAAACATCGACTCTCAAAATGTCTCAAAGATGTATGCCCATGAGGGGTCAATGGATCGGCATATATGACAGACATGGAGTGTGATCCAGAATGGAGTTAAGAAGGTCGATCCATCTCATTTTCGGGCGGGGGCGGTTCTTGGTTTCGCGATGTGGCGAGGTGCGGAGGGGAGGGTCAGCGGTTTCGAACGGACGTCGCGGCGACCCGACACTTGTGCAGAACTCGGATGACCTGGTCGAAGATGCAGAACTCGGAATGAAGCGGAAAAGAGAACCTCAAGAACTGCAGAAAAGGAACCCCCTTGCGGTGATGCTGATTCAATCCCAATCAGTCTAGACATGAAGCATCCGTCTTCGTCGATTCGTCACTGTTGCAGGTACAAGTCTATGCCAGCAACGGCACCTCAAACCATGCAGGCATGGATCGATTTGCGCTGCACGTCATTGTTGGATTCCGCGCTGCGATGACTCACGCGCCACGTTGCTGGTTTCGGTCCGCGCCTGGGCGACCTCGAGACCGACCGGCAGCGGAAGGTCAGCTGCAACTGGTGAGCCATTGGCTCAAGGGCGATGGAGATGAGATGATGCGCGAGTCACATGCTCCACGTCGGTAGAAAAAATGCGGAAAGACACGCGGCAGGTGAAAGCAAGGAATTGTCTTAGAAGGCCAGAGAAATGCGTTCTCACAGAAGTTGTAAGGAGCCCAGCAGCCTAGCATTCTTGCTTTAAGTATCTGAAAGCCTTTGCAGAAGGATAGTGCGTGCTGTACTGCTGCCATTGCACAAGCGAAACCAGTGCAGGCGTGCGTTTGAGGCAATTTCGTTGAACTCGTAGGATTTTTCAGTCCAACTGATGTTGAGACCCGTGTTCCCTGAATGACTTCAAAACGCTACTTATAGTGGCCACATCCAGCGAAACACGCTGCTGTACTTCCTTTGATCAAACCATGTTGTTGAGAGATGTTGAGCAAGAAGGCTTCCAAACGATACCACCACAGAAACCATGTTTTCCAATGATTTTTTCTCGGAACTGGCGATCCCACGCGCTGACCAAGCACCCGACCTATAGGAGACCACGATGGCGTCAATCGCTGTTGTCTTTGAGTGTTGACCTCAGCCGCTGCGTTGCGGGAGGAGCACAGTCAGCACATGTCATGTGAGATCCTTGTTGCATGTCGCAGCGTCCGACCAGTCGGACCTCAGCGTGTCGGAACTCGGCCGCGGCGGAACGTCCGTGTTTGTCGAGCAGCGTCGGTGGTCGTCCGGATTCCACAGCAGTGATGACTGGGTTGGAGGGCGATGACCGCTGGGCCGAAGCCTTTTGCTGGACCGAAGGCGACGGATGACCCTACCGCCCTTCCGACCCGGATCCAACCCGGATTCCACCGGAAGGGCGGTGGCTCCTCCGTCTTCGTCGCTCAGGATCGACCATGCTGCCACCAAGCCTGGGCAGAGCATTTCGGTCGTGGACGTCCCAGAAACGACGTGGCCTGCACGACGCGCGACGTGAGCGGTTTTGAAACACGAAAAGAGCTCAACCCTTCCAATGATGAATTCAACAAAAATCGAGAATTGTGATGCCCCACCTGAAGAAACATGTGGGGGGGGAAATCCGTAGCCTTCCAAGATCAATGTTCTCTTAAACGGATTGACCTGGTTTTAGTAGTGCAAAAAAAGAACCTGCAGTGTCAAGGGTCCCAAGGGTTCTTTAGTACCCTCAAGACTCAACGGACTCAAGACCTTTCAACATCTGCTTAAGTAACAACAAAAACATCTGCGCTGAGGTCGGCGGCCACCCCGGGATGGGACGTTGGAAGCCAGAGCGGCCGATGGGAGCGGCGGACCGGCAACTGGCCACGAGTCCGGGGACGTATCCCAGGTGAGGAGGTTTGGGTTTCGTCAGTTTTGGTCACGCAAGGCACCAACAACTCCCCACCAGTGACACGTCCCAGTCAAACACGTCCCAGTCAAACACGTCCCAGTCAAACACGTCCCATGACTCAAAGAACTGTCAAAGAATAATATGGAAATTGGGATTGATATATTTAGGGGTCCAGAGATAGCGGCAGTGAAGCAAAACTTGTCTGATCTTTTGTGTTTGGCTTCCTTGGCTGCGGAGCTCTTATGTATGTTCCTTTTCCGAAACCGGCAGTGACACCGGGTGCCAGGTGGATCATGTTCAGTCCGTTGTGGATGGAGCACGAGGGCACGGCTTTGAAGCTGGAGTAGCATGGCGGCAAAAGAAGCCAGGAAGTACCTGGAGACGAGAACCGATAGATGAACCGAAAGAACTATAGACTCCCTGTCATAGATGGAAAAGTAGATCCCCACGTAGAAAATGTGTTGGAAACCATGCCGCTGCCACGGTCATCTATGTAAGGGGACCACTATGTGGCATTGGGTCAAAAACTACAACCGTGCTGGGTGAAGATCTTTGAAGGGACGGATACGTGTGAAAGACACTTGTAGCGTGGACGGCCTACAGCAGAGTGGACACAGAAGCATCCACTCTAAAAATGTCTCAAAGATGTAGAGGGAGATGATCACTGATGACCACTGATGATGAATCTACAAAGACCTTCAAAACAGGTGCATGTGACAGTCATGACTCTTCAAGATGCTGCCCAGGTACAAATACGTGAAGCAAGTGTCTCCCGAGCGCTTCGATTGGGAGCCCGGTCCGAACCGCAGCATTGCCGGAGGGCCCAGGCCGTGCTGTGTTCCACGTTTTTTCCGCATATGGAAAACAAAACCAAAAAAGGACAGGCGAAAACCACCTGTTGGCAGGTCCTGGTGGAGGCATCATGGAGGCCATCGCTAGTAGGTTGGAGGCCATCGCTCTTAGGTCCTGGTGGAGGCATGATTGTTTTACAGGTGTCTTCCCAACCGGAAATGTCCTCATCATTCCATCACGCGCCGTTCCGGGCAGCGTCATTCCGGTCACGCGCCTCGTTCCGTGCGCGCCGTGGCGGGCGCGGTTGGCTCGAGGAACTGCGTCCAGTCCCCGCTGGAAGCGATGTGTGGATCATCCGAGATAGCCAGCCTGGGCGCCCGGCTCGGGCGAAATCAAGCTCCGGTTGGTTGCCATGAATCCGGGTGCCGGGTTTGGTTCAGAGGCAGAGGTGAGTGTTTGCAACGAATTGTATGACTTTTGACCCATCCAAGTTACACTGGGCGAAAACAGAGAAGGATTTGAAAGACAAGGTCAGGTGGTCAAACATGCGAAGAAACCAACCAATCTCCTTTTGCATGAGTGGTTTTGGTGGGTCTCTTCCCATTTCGAGACAGAGATTCGGAGAAACAGGTCTTGGTCTGTGACAGGGTTTAGGGTGAAGTGTTTCAGGGATTTCGATTTTGGGTCATTTGGGTTGCTAATCTGCTAGTGAGTAGTAGCAAATAGCTAGTAGTAGCTAAGGGCGTCGCTGCTAGGAACAAGGGCATCGCTAGCAGCTAGAAGCTAGTAGCAAATACTCAGAGATGTTTCTCCATGACCGGCCTTTCCAAACCAACTCAAACCATGCCTCCACCAATCATCATGAATGATGGGCTTTGGTGACTGTGACTGTGTTGTTTCTTTTCATTATGTTTTTTCATTGTCTTGCCTTTCTTCATCTCTCATTCACCACACAGACCATACGTCTTCCTCTATCCGCCCCCCTCAGCTCGTCTGGCCGATCTTGGTTTCCCCGCCGAAATCTGCCAACCAGGTGGGGAGGAACCCATTTGACCCCCACGGTGCGGCCACCTGGACCGGGACGTTCGGGACGAGTCCAGATCGATCGGACGCGAACCGAACGGAGCTTTTTCGCGCTGGCAAACTATTGGAATCTCCATATAGTTTTGGGGGGGAGAGAAAGGCACAGGGAATGCCCAGGCCTAACGGGTGTAGGTCTCCCCTTCCTGTTGCAAACATTGCAAGTTGAAGGTTCACAATAAAAACCGGGTGTATTTTCTTGAGTTCCTTCTCAAGTGAGGCGGAGTAGATGTCTTTTAATGTTCCCGAGGTCTGAACGGAAGTTCGAGCGGCCGAACTAAGGTCTTGAACTGTTCATTGGCCGAGTTGAACTCCAGCCGCTGCAAGGCCCAGTGATCTTTGGGATGCTCAAGGGATGGTGGGTTGTTTTTCTTCTTATGAACCAGAAGAAGAGAAAGAAGAGTTCGCATCCAATGCGGATCCCACCGAAGAGGTGGTGAAAGCGGCGAGTTCCACGATGGTACATGTGACAGTCATGTGAATGTTCGGTGCTCATAGCTGTGTGTTGTGTCACTGTCACACCAGAAACATGACCTTCAACCCTTGGTCAAAGCGCCGTGTGTGCTGCTCCCAAGCTTGCGGGACATGGTGGCTGTTTCCCTCGGACAACGGAGAAAAGGGGGTCTCTTGTCCTTGTCGGGGTCTCCCTTCAATTCTTCCATCGGAGCAACCTGCCGGCAGGATCCAGGACCGGAACCAAACACCATGCTCTCAACCCAACAGGCCGTTGATCTTGACCAATCCGGCTCATCAAACAGCTCCCTCATCCCCAAATCTTCGACCTTTTCCTCCTCTCCAAAAAGCGCAGCCGACGGGACCTCGCCGCGCGGCACGAAGTTCCCCGCTCCAGGTGGACCCCAACTGGTGCCCGAAGGCTGCGCGCGGTGGACGGGGGTCTTTCGGCGCGTCCGCTTGGCCCAAAAAGTTCGAACTCCAGTCCCAACGAGGAGAAAGAGTTCTTTTTGGAGTTGAAAGGGGAAAAGGAATGAAAACTGGAGAATGGAGAGGCGTGTAGAACCTGACCATCGTCTCGTGGGCACGATCCTCCTCAAGAATCATCCTGCGCGACGTCAGCCGCAGGTGAAGCTTCCCCCGATCCCCAAGCTGCCTCTCAACATGGCGGCCCGGTGACACGTCGCGCCATACGCGGCACGTGTCCAGACCGTAAGACCAAGCGAATTGGGTCACCGGGTCAGCGGGGATGTCGAGTCCAAGTCCGGGTTGCTCTGGGTTGGTGGTGTCTTCCAAAGGCGAAGACATCACGATGTGTTTCACAAAGAAAAATGGAAAACATCTGGCAGCAGCACCCTGCAAGCGTCAGCAGCACCCTTGCTCCAAAGCCCACACTGCCATGGACATCTCGCAGCAAGCACCCTGGAGTGGCACCCTGCAGCACCCAGGCTCCCAAGCGCGCACAGTGCATTTGACCAACTTGAGGGTGAGCACCCCGATAGCCCTCGCTATCCGGGGAAAAAGAAACATGTGGTTGACGTTTGCAGAGATGCTCAAGTGATCGAAATCGTATATTCTTGGAAATCACTTTCGAGTTTTGGCATGACAGTCGGGAATAAGTAACATCTTCATGTTGAACCGGGCGACTTAACTTTGATGCCGCCTATGTTTTTTGGCTGCCCGACAGGGCACTATGTGCATTGACTTGGTGC